CTTGCATTTATTCTCTGTGTTCTCTCAAATGCTAATCTTCTGGATTCTTCAACCTCTCTAGTTTTGACTTTCTAAACTTTTCTCACTGAATCATACTTCTTGAATAGTATCTTCTAATCCTAACCTACGATTATTTCTAATTCCCTTACTACCTCTTCTACTATTGGATTTGAATTGACGATTACTTCTCTGTGCTGATGTGGTATGGCAACATGAACTGATGTACTTGTGTACAAAGTTCTACGTTGCATCTGACTGACTGACTGAAATTTCAGCTTAGTAGGCTAGAACGCTAAGCCATCGAGTGTGAAGTCAAATGTCTTGGGTTCCATACCTGAGTATGGGGTCGTGGACACACACTCTTGACTAGTCCAATATTAATACGAAATGAAGGTTCAATGCTTGCAGATTTTTATAATTAGTTAGGCTCAAAATAGTTTATAATTTGAAAGCTATCAAAATTCTATATTCTTCACAAATCATCCCATTTTGATTTTGATCATTGCCGTGAAAAAGTTCGCACACAATTCATAGATGAAACATTTTAGATTATCAATATTCTTATCGTTGAAACCATCTCAAATATAATTTTTACACATAGTGCCTTAAAAGAAGAATGAGTACTTAATTTCTTTCAAATCATGTGCCTGGAGCTCTTTTGCAGTCCCAAGCCCAGATAAAGAAGGAGGGTTGGGCACAAGGCTAACGAATTCATTCCTTAGAAAACCGGCTGGTTAAAAAAGGCTAACTAGACAAATATTCACATAAACTTTTATTGATTGTGCTTTTGCTGTATAATTAAAAAATAAACTGTTAAATAATTGATTTTTTCATTGAAATCATAGATCCATCGATGTCAGACCACTATTAGAGACCTGGAAGCACTCGGTGGCTGTTTCAGCCTAGTATGGAATTCTTTAGCAGTGCTCATTTACGACCCAGCAAGCGGGAATCGGGTCCAGGACCTCCGAACCGTTATACCACTGAGCCGTTACTCGATGGTGTTAACATACAAGAAGAATATAAGTTCGTTTAAGATTTCTAAAAGCGTATCACAGATAGCTATTCTTTCTCCCTCAGTATAAATCTCAATGCACAAAAAAGAAAAAACTAACGAAATAATCCCGCTTAAATACGACCTTGAGATTCAAAGATAACAAACAAACTGAAAGCTAGGACAACCAATCAATCGAATAACAACAAGGGTCGGTGAGAAATTTCAGCCGGTAGAAAGTACTGGAAAACTTTCTTACTTATTAGAAATACAATTTATAAACAAAAAAATTAGATAATCTGAAATCATCCCAGGGTCATCTTCAATAAAGGGAGCAGAAGAAAGTTTGACATATTGTGTTTTCTTTGTGTGGACTATAAATGAAAAGTTGCAAATAACTAATTTCAATGAACAATATTTCTTCGGTATCCGTAACAAAGTTAGATATTGAACATTAGTTGGAAAGTGAATAATAATTAAATAATTAAATTTGCAGATTTCTAATCTCGTGTCCATCAGTTTTAGACCGCCATCAGAAACCTAAAAGCAATGGACAGCCAATTTGTTCTGGCATACGATGATGAAGACTCACTACTTCACAAATTGATTGGCCACCCTTACCTAGTACTCTATTCCTAACGATAGCATTACTTACTCGATTGTCCCACGATATAAGAGCGATGCTTCGAAGATACCGATGATCGAATAACAGTGGCTTACAAATATCCTTTACTCTGACTGGACATGTTTCACAGCCATATAGTAGGACAGAGCGAACTGCTGAGCAGTATACTCGTCCTTTGGTTAGCAGACGGATATCTCGTGTATGTCATAAGTGATGCTGGTTGGCAAAAGCCGATCAAGCCTTTTGTATCCATGCTGAGATTTCGTCAGTCACCAGGACATCAGCGCTGATGAGACTCTAGAGATAAGTGAAGCGGTCTACATGCTCAACTGCGTCACTCCCTATCACTAGTTCAGGTGCCGAAACAATCCAATCTTGAAGCAACATTTTGCATTTCGAGATGAGAATCTCATCCCGAATATGCTTAAATTTTAGCTTAATGTGGTCAGAGGACTGTGCATCTTCTCAGTGCTTTCACTAAACAGAACTATGTGATTGGCATATTCTAAGTCAACAAGCGAATCTCCTGGAGTGTTATACGATCACAATATCATCTCTCAAAGCATGTCAATAACGAAGTTGAATAAGAATGGAGAGATTGGATAACCATGATTGACAGCACTCCTCAGTAGTGCGCATTTACGAACTAAATACAAATTGTATATTGTGGCTAGGAGGCAAACACAAGAAAAATGTTGTATCTTATTTAGAAAGTGTTATCTGGATTTATTTGTATCTCAGTGGGGACTTAAATCCTGCTACAATCTATTTGTGATAAACTGATTGTATCAATGTAATTCGTACAGAATAAATCAACGAGACCTGATCAAAATTCAATATTAAATAAATGAACAACAAGATAACCTGAATATTTATTAATAAATGATTTAAATCTAGACTGTTTTGTTAATTACACAAGACTTAATTACGCGTGACTTTATCAATAAATCTCATAGCAGACTACTGAATTGAATTGACTATTGATAAATTTCTGAATATTATCATTTGAAAATTACCTTTTTTTTCAATTTCTATTTAGAAAATAAATAATAATAATATTATGAAGTAAATAATATAAAATGTTAATTGAACATAGAGTCGTTTCATTCTCTTCTTTTCCTTTTTTTATAGAACTCACCTTCATCATCCATATTGAATAATTCTGTTGTTGTATCTTCAACTAAGGTGCATTCAACCAATGAAATTTTACCACAATTCTGTGAATTGAATTTTTCGAAATTTTTTTCAGAAAATAAAATAAAATAAAATAGAAAAAGTTACAATCAAAAGCACAAATAAACCAAACGTACAATTTAGAGTTATTTTCTAACAGAGAATAAAATAAACTTAAACCAATTGGGTTCGTCACACTGTCATATAAAGTATGATTCAGTTATTCTTTAAAATTTATGAAATATATCAAATGAGGCTAGCAGAAAGTATCTAGAACAAACGTTTCATTCTAGTGAAAAGTTGTTAATTGAATGTACATGCATTTCAGAGTTGATATTCACTACAGTAGTTTTCATCGTAGATGCCTAACACATTATCAACTGAACTACTGAGTTCACAGAGCTACCTACTTATGCAACAAGTATGTTATTTATATTATTATTATTATTATTATTATTATTATTATTATTATTATTATTATTAGCATGGGTTCGGTCTTGTCTGTTTGTTTTAAATTTTTGAGTGAATTCTGATTAGTCTTGATTAGTTATCCTGTAAGAACAATAAAGGGACTATTAAATTCTGCATTAACTTACTTTGACCAATCGTAATTTACCATTATTTGTTCGTGCAGTAATCAATAAATGATTAGTGAATAGAAATACTTGACGTACAGCTTCTTTTCTTTCACGATATGATGATCCGAAATTGCCTAATCTTGAACGAGATGAACGCAGTTTATCACACATAACTTGAATTAATGTACCTAATTAATAAATAGAATAATAAAATTGTTCATTTGAAAATCGAGGCAAAAAAAACGATTTGAGGAAAAAAAAGATTTGAAACTAATCATTGTTCAAAAAAGTACAATATATCTAGTACTTTTTTTCATTGATTTCATGTGTATGTATAGGCGGCATATAAGAGCAAGATTTCCACTGGATATTTTATTTGAACCATCAAAACTTAACTAAATATTTCTTTTACGAATACACAACTGTACTGCACTACAAAGATTCAGCATGAAAAAAGTAGATAAAATGAACATTAGAGTTTGAAATGAAATCTTAAATGAAAATTATGCACTTAAATGTATTTGAGATGGTAGGATGATCAGTTTATCCACACATAAAAGACATATCAGAGCATACAGCACGACTACTGAAACCATTTGAAATAGGTGTGGCACACAAACCAACAGAATCACTTCAATCAATCCTATGAAGAACAAAGGACAAAATGACAAAGGGAGATAAACCAAATATCATCTGCAAAATAAATTGCTCAGGCTGTGAAAAACACTACATAGGACAAAGTGGATGGACTCTTTAGCTTCGTTTACATGAATACCAATTAGCAGTCAAACGCCATGACAATTATGGACAATGTGGAAATACTGGATAGGGGGAGTATTAGGAACACCAGAGAATTTTCATAACCTTAGCACTCAGGTCAGTCAGCAATCAGCAAACACATTGATAGTGACCCAATTTATCAACCAATCAGAAAAATTATAGGTGACACATAATCAAGAAACAGAACAAAAGGGGAATACAAACAGGTTTAAGGTCAACAGCAACCAATCAAGATCGAGATTAGCAGAGCAAGCTACAGGTCAAACGTGGAGAAATTCGAATGCTTCACTTCTTCCATCTAACTCCGCCAGTAGAACCTTCGGGGCTACTGCCGGTCCCAAGCCCGGGTAAAGGAGGAGGGTTGGACATGGGGTTGGCGACCCCATTCCGTCAAAAACTAACTTGCCAAAAAAACGCTAACCAGAAAAAATAATTCAAACCATTTTAACTCTGCCCTGGGAGTTGGAGGAAGAATTATGACGTCGCGTGATGAAAGCCGAGTTCCCTCGGAAGTCACGGGGCTGATGCCTCTTCTGACAACCAGAGCAACCATTTTTTTAGGTACATGGAACGTTCGTACATTGTGGGAGACTGGAAGACTATTTCAAGTTGCGGCAGAAATGAGAAGATACAACCTCAAGGTGCTTGGAATCAGTGAAACACATTGGACACAAGTAGGACAACTGAGACTAGCTTCAGGGGAACTGCTGTTATACTCTGGTCATGAAGAGGAAAATGCTTCACATACACAAGGAGTTGCATTGATGCTGTCCAAACATGCACAAAAGGCACTGATAGGATGGGAATCTCATGGACCTAGGATCATCAAAGCATCCTTCAAAACAAAGAAAGAGGACATTATAATGAACGTCATCCAATGTTATGCACCTACCAATGACTACAATGACGACGACAAAGATCAATTCTACGAAAGGCTGCAGTCAATCGTCGAGAAATGTTCACCAAAGGATTTGACGATTCTTATGGGAGACCTGAATGCCAAGGTTGGAATGGACAACACTGGATATGAAGACATCATGGGACGACATGGACTGGGAGAAAGCAACGAAAACGGTGAGAGATTTGCAAACCTATGTGCCTTCAACAAACTGGTCATCGGTGGCACAATATTCCCACACAAACGCATTCACAAAGCCACATGGATTTCACCGGATCACACTACTCAAAACCAGATTGATCATATCTGTATCAACAAAACGTTCAGAAGGACTATGGAGGATGTGAGAACCAGGAGAGGAGCTGATGTAGCCTCAGATCACCATTTGCTAATCGCCAAAATGAAACTGAAACTAAAGAAGCACTGGACAACGGGACAGACAACATCACACAAGTTTAATACGGCCTTTCTTCGGGATACTGTAAAGCTCAACGAATTCAAGATAGCCCTCACCAATAGGTTCCAGGCCTTACAGGATCTACACAATGGAGAGGACACAACATTGGACAACAATTGGAAAGGGATTAAGGAGGCAATCACTTCAACATGTCAGGAGGTCCTTGGTCGCAAGAAGCAGCATCATAAGGAATGGATCTCTGTTGGTACTCTTGAAAAAATTGAAGAAAGGAGGAACAAGAAGGCAGCAGTGAATGTCAGCCGAACAAGAGCAGAGAAAGTTACCGCACAAGCTGCATACACAGAAGCAAACAGGGAAGTGAAGAAGAGCATCAGAGCTGACAAACGAAAATACGTGGAAGATCTAGCAATGACGGCGGAAAAGGCTGCAAGAGACGGAAACTTGAGACAATTGTATGAAACTACAAAGAAGCTCGCCGGGAACTATCGTAAACCAGAACGACCAGTGAAAAACAAGGAAGGCAAAGTAATCAGCAACACTGAACAACAGCGAAATAGGTGGGTAGAGCACTTTAAGGAACTCCTAAATCGACCAGCTCCTCTGAAGACACCCAACATCGAAGCAGCATCCACGGACCTCCCAATTAATATTGGCGCACCTACGATTGAGGAGATCAGTATGGCCATCAGACAAATCAAGAACGGCAAAGCAGCAGGACCAGACAACATTCCAGCAGAGGCAATGAAAGCAGATGTGGAAGCAACTGCGAAAATATTTCACATCCTCTTCAAGAAGATTTGGGATGAGGAACAAGTACCATCAGACTGGAAGGAAGGATACCTGATCAAAATACCAAAGAAAGGCGACCTGAGCAAGTGTGAGAACTACAGAGGCATCACTCTTCTTTCAATACCAGGCAAAGTCTTCAACAGGGTATTGTTAAACAGAATGAAGGACTTCGTAGACGCCCAACTTCGAGATCAACAGGCCGGATTTCGGAAGGATCGATCGTGTACTGACCAAATTGCTACATTACGGATCATTGTGGAACAATCAATTGAATGGAACTCACCACTCTACATCAACTTCATCGACTACGAGAAAGCATTCGATAGCGTGGATAGGAAAACACTGTGGAGGCTTCTTCGACACTACGGGGTGCCTGAGAAAATAGTTAACATCATACGGAACTCTTATGATGGATTCAACTGCAAAATCGTGCACGGAGGACAGCTAACAGTCTCTTTCGAGGTAAAGACCGGTGTCAGGCAAGGTTGCTTACTCTCACCCTTTCTCTTTCTCCTGGTCATCAACTGGATTATGAAGACGTCAACAGCTGGAGGGAAGCACGGTATCAACTGGACAGTTAGGACGCAGCAGGACGATCTGGACTTCGCAGATGACCTGGCACTTCTATCGCAAACGCAACAACAAATGCAAGAGAAGACGACCAGTGTAGCAGCAGCCTCTGCAGCAGTAGGTCTCAACATACATAAAGGAAAGAGCACAATTCTCCGATGCAACACAACATGCACCAATCGAATCACTCTTGATGGAGATGCCTTGGAGGACGTTAACACCTTTACATATCTGGGCAGCATCATTGACAATCAAGGTGGATCTGATGCAGATGTGAGGGCACGGATCGGCAAAGCGACGGCTGCATTTCTACAGTTGAAAAATATCTGGAACTCCAAACAGATATCAATCAACACCAAAATAAGGATTTTCAATACAAATGTCAAGACAGTTCTACTGTATGGAGCGGAAACATGGAGAACTACGAAAGCCATCATCCAGAGGATACAAGTGTTTATTAATAGCTGTCTACGTAAAATACTTCGTATTCGTTGGCCAGACACCATCAGCAACAACGAACTGTGGGAGAGAACAAGTCAGATTCCAGTGGAAGAGGAAATCAGGAAGAAGCGGTGGAAGTGGATAGGACACACTCTACGAAAAGCACCTAACTGCGTCACGAGACAAGCCCTCACATGGAACCCTCAAGGCAAAAGGAAAAGAGGAAGGCCAAAGAATACATTACGCCGTGAAATAGAGAAAGATATGAGAGGAATGAACAAACATTGGACAGAACTGGAGGAAGAAGCCCAGGACAGAGTTGGTTGGAGAAAACTGGTGGGCGGCCTATGCTCCATTTGGGGTAACAGGCGAAAGTAAGTAAAAGTAAAGCTTCTTCCATCTGAAGTTTGTGCTGATGATGTTGTTCGCAAGAACAATGAAAACTCCACAACCAAAACATCTAACTCAGAGAACGAAGCACTACCACACTTAAATATATCACTTACCAAATGAATGGAAGAACATTTGAAAATGCTTAATCCTGTAACATATATTGTATCTCGAAAAACGGATGCGCTACAAATTCACGAACGTTATTTATATATTTTATAAAAGCTTTAAAAAAAAACATTTGAGGTTGCTGCTAAAGGTAGATCTTACTAATGAACCAATAAAATTTAAGAAAAATCGAGAACTGGATTTCTTTTCATTTTTTTTCAGTGTAACTCATTTCTTTAAGAGTGTAAGTATTTGTGTACATGGTTAGTAACTAATCTCGTTTTCTAATCATCAATCTTTACTTAAACCCTAAGTCCTAATGGTAAACTAAACTCTTAACCGTAACAATAAGTTGGGAAGGGGTTGATGTGATATACTGTTCAGTTATGCAACTTGCACAAGGAACGACCAAATATCAGTTTTAGTTTATGAAGGTAACTCCAAAAGTTGCTGAAAGTGCAATTTCATCGAAAAAATTTGAACTGCAATCAAATTTACAAAAAAACCGATGAAAAGCGACGCTAGCGCAGTCGTCTAACGGTTACGTGCTTACTAATAAACTGGAAAGCTATGAGCCTGATCACTGGCAGATTTGTGAATCTATATCACTGACCAGTATTGTACTAGACTGAAACAGCTGTTTAGTATATCTTAGTTTTAAATGTTTATTTAACTAAATTGTAAATGTGTGTAAAGTTTTCCTGAAAAAAGAATTCTTAGGATTTGTTCCTTAGTTTTTTTTACAAAAATCAATAAAAAAGAGAATCGAGTGGGGATTCTGACGGTGGAAATGT